CCACCGCCCCGGTCGGTCGCGGAGAAAAAGGACGCGGCAGAAAAAGCTCTCCGAGGCCGTTAAATGTTCACGTTCGTGAAATATCTGGATTGTCTTGATGGCGTGCCAAACCCCCGCATTTTTTTTTTTTTTTTAATACTTTTTATTGTTGTTTCCACGTGCTTAATTTAGATATCTGGATTTCACGCATTTCTCTATCCTCAAATCGACTGCAGATTCTGCAGGTATTTCAAAACTTTGATAATTTACGATCTCTTTCGCATCCTTTGACGCGCAAAGGTCTTACTCCGGATTCCTCCTCGACTTTTCAGACCGTCGCGTCGTGGTAGTTAAGCCTCCTCGAACGAATTGATGGATGCATGCGCTCGCGGTGTGTTGCACGGTGAAATTTCCTTCAGATCGGAGATATATCGACGAAAAATAAGATGGATGAGAACAAAGGCAGGATGTGAATGCACGAAATGCCATTCGCGATTAGAATCTGCGTGATTGGAAAATGGGGAGAGACGCGGAACAGGCATGCGTAAGAGAAACCAGGCTGCTGGAATAATCCGCATAAATGAGAGATTACGTAAACCGTATTCGACCAGATGTTCGACGAAATGCAAACAACAGTGCAAATTCAAGTTGTGTAAAAAGTGCCTCATCCGCGTGTAAAAATAGCACATCTAAATGTGAATAAATTCATGCTTCTATGCAGTACAGCGTGTGTTATTTTTCCGCGGTATAAGACCACTTTTTACACACCGTGGATTTGCAGCAAAGACGAAAATAGGTCGCTCTGCTAAAAATCTATATTCTCGATCTCGCAACGTTAATCAGAACGGAAATAAATTACGAAGAAAAAACAGAAAAAAATATATAAATGTAAATATATATGTATACGACTAAGATTTCGAGAAATGAAGCGATCAAAAATGGGATATTTACAAAGAAAGGACGTTCTTTCTGTTGACAGTTCGAAAACGGAAGAGAATCGTAAATTCAAAGGGCTGTTTGTGAGACCGAAACCTAATCTGTGGGGAGGGGGGGGGGGAAAGAACTAACCGCAGACTAAGTCTCCGCTCCTTCGAGGGTCTCTTGACTCGAGACACATTGTTATCGTCTCTGATCCTATTGACTACCCTACTCTCAATGGCACGACGGCCCACGGGTGAGGCTGGTTTGTCTCCAGCGGTGTGTAAGACCGCATATTTTCACCTATAATCGGATCTGTCGCGCCCTGTTCGCTAATCGAGCGAAATACCGCCGGGTTTGAAGAAAATTGAAAGTGAAAAATACGCGGCATCATGACAAAAAACAACTCCCGAGGGAGCTACTCGAAAAAGAATCAAAACATATCGCTGGTGTATGCGAAAACATTTTTCTAAAAGATATAAACAATATATCTTTCAATCTTGAGAAAGATTGATAGGGAAGTCACAAGCGGCGTATGATGTACAACAGACAATTTTACAATGCAAATACTATACAGTAAGCCGAGAAGACAGCGCGAGTATATATATATATAGACTTGTCATCGCGAGAATTTTAACTTAAGAGTTTTCTCTGTCTATCGATCTGTCATTAACAGGTGAGGTCGGCGTTTACGAAGGTCCAATTCGCATTCCTGGTGGCGTATATACTGCGCGAAGCGGAAACACGAGACGTGTGATGGCGTGCAGGGCGACCCGGCGCGGGGCAGTCGCGACGTGACGCATAATGTAACGCAAACTATATAAAGCTCTGATCGTGCAACCCAACCGCTGTTACCCTCAAAAAATCCCATAAAACATTCTTCTCGCCCCTTATTTATACTTCTCTCGGTGAAACACCACACCCCGTACTTCTGCGAGCTCCCTCCGACCAATCTCCCTCCCCTCCTTCCCTCTCCCCTCCCCCCACCCGCCGCTCTCCCTCGGCCGACCATCATACAGGTAAAATGTGTTGGCCGGGACCGACGATCGAGCGGGGAGCGCGGCCGACCGAAATCCGCAGACTTTGGGGCCCCCCCGTCGTACGTAACCTGGAGGCGGTTTTCCGGGGACCTTTCGTCACCTCTGCAGCCTCTGAAGGCCCCGTCGAGCCGGATGAATGAACCGGCGAGCCCCCGGGAACGACCTCATTCCGGGGTCTTCATCCTCGGCTCTCGGGACAAGACGGGAGCGGCGGGAGGGTGAGGAGGGGGGGATGAAGGGGGGAGGGAGGAACGCCCGCAGAGTTTTACAAGATGCGCCATATGCGATACATTATTATACAATACGGGAGAGAGAGAGGCGCGCTCTAAACGCGCTCACGGTCGCCCTCCTCCGAGGGGGCGGGAGAGGGGGAAGGGGGGGAGAGAGAAAAGAGCGGCGGAAATCCTTTATAGAGCTCGCACCGAGCGCGGCGGACCGCTCGCCGCGCGTTCGCACACTCGGACCACGTGGACTTGCCTCCTTGCCTCTTTCTTCTCCTACCTTTCGTCCTTTCTTCTTTCGACCCCGAAAAAGAGAGAGAGAGAGCCGGTCGTTTTCTTTTCTCTCGTTCTTCCGGGGGAGGAGCGGAACGCGCGCGCTCTGCAAGGCGAGAAAGAGATCTCTTCTCATGCTCGCGGGATCGGCCGCGCACAACATGTTCGACGTCGTGTCGCGCGACATGTAAGACTCTACTTGAGACCGCGCGGTATGATAATTGGCGGTCGGAGTTCACGCGTGCGTATCGCCGAGCGACTTCCTCGTTTCTTCGCGTCGTTGTCGCCGGCGAGAGAAACAAACAGCCACACGCGTCCGCTACCGAGAAGCCGATTTCTCACGGCGGCGGCAGTCGAGGTTGACCATTTACATAACGACATTAGCGTTGACACGGCATTCGCGGTGCCGTCGAGAAAGAGAGAGAGAGAGAGAGGTAGAAAGGAAGGAACCGGAGTATCGATGTCATACTTAGCGTCCTTATGTGCCGCGCATCCGTTTCATCCCTTCGCCTCTTCACCGTCGGTCGCGTATATAGTCGTGTCGGCCCGGCCGCGCGGTGTGTCGCCGGCGCATTTCTCATACCGCGCGCGCACATTTATTTTCGCGCGCCGTGCCACAATCGGCGGATCTGCCGGCCCGATTAGATCTGCGCCGCCGGTTATCGTCAGATGCATTAATTACACGGATGTAGCCAGGGGGAATTCCGCTCGCGCGGCAGCGCCTTGCCAGCGCGACGCGGCCTTTATCGTGGAAATAATAATTTACGGCATCGGTGTCGCCAGGCAAGGCCGGGGCCGCTTCTTTAATCCCTCCAATCCTCGCGCGCACACAGAAAACGGGTTGCCGCGGTAGAAATGTATCGGAGGCCGCGGCGCGATACAGGGTGTCCCGAGATGCGGATCTCGCGGCACGTTTTTCTTATATACGGCGCGTTTTCGGAGCCCGATCTTTTCCGCTCCAGAAATTTTAGCGCGAGATTAGCTAGGCGCGGCTCCTTTTGTTTGTGCTGTTATATATAGATAAAAATGTGGTGAGTGCAATTGTAAAGGTGACAACTGTACAAATTTCAAACGTATATAATTAATGTACAGTCGTGGACACATCGGTTGCGATACTTTTTTTTCTTTTCTAAATATATATTTACATTATATAGGTTATACATA